TAAATCGATCCTCTGAGTTACGGATCGATCTTTAGAAATGAATATGAAAATCGATTCAGAATTGGTGAATTCAACACAGCCCTACTTTCAAGTACTTCACACATCTTTTTCCAGCACTTCAAAACTCAAATATTATACTCAAATGACAATTAATAGGTAATCTTCATTGCCATTTATGTGAAATTACTGAACTTAAATATACAAGCTTGATAAAAATGATCATTCTAGAAGAAAATTTCAAATGGCTTTTGCATCTGAACTCTTCATATATTTAAATGTTATTTTTAATGTGATGACCAAAACTCATCCTTCAAAGATGACACCCATTTATAAACCTGAAAGTTTCAAGATGTAGGAAAACTCACACTTATTTAAAAAATATATTTTTTCTTTTAACAAATAGGAAATTTCTCTGGCATTTCTTACTTTTTGCTGTATCGAAAACGTACCGAACCGTGACTTTAAAACCGAGGTACGTACCGAACCGTGATTTTTGTGTACCGTTACACCCCTAATATGCGTCTGTTCATTCATGTTGTCAAAGTTACCCGCCGAATTGACGACACGCTGACGTCAGACGCACGTCCATTTACAAACCAATCAATGTCAAGATGCAGCCCACACAGATGATGGCGACAGGACGCACGTATGTCACGTAAAGTTCTTTAGTGTGCTCACATAATTGCAGTGTGAAACCAAACCAAAACTTTCTGAAAGTATAAAATGTATCAAAACGTGAACTTTGGTTCGGACCTTGGTGCGGACTTTCAGGTGTGAAAACGCCCTAAGACTAAGGTACTTTATTATTTTTATACTCAATATAGTGCTGGGCGGTATACCGGTTCATACCGAAAACCGGTGTATATTTTTGTTATGATATAAATTTTTAATATACCGCCATACCGATGTATTTAATTACACAACGTTCGGAAGGAACGTTACGCTGCGCCGCGCGACACTGTTTCAGACGGAGCCTTTACAATGTTGCACTTCTAAGCAGCGACTGCGAGGCGAGGGTAAACAGCAGTGCTCTGGTGTTACGTTACAGGGAAGATGGATGCTGCAGAACTAGTAGAACATGACACAGAAGAACTTGTGCCAAAAAGAGGAGCCGGGTCTGTCCAACGTCGCCAAAGGCGGCAACACGAGCAATTTGCGCAAGCTAGTCTTGCTTGAATACTGTGTAATGTACCTGGTATTGAACTTGAAGCAAAAGTATTGCAAGTTGCTCTACTTTTTGTATTGGTTTTTATAAAAATAAAAATTGTGAAATTTGCAGAGTAAAAGTTCTGTATTTTGACTGCAATTGTCTTTGCATTCTGATTTCTCACTTCATTAGAATCATGATGACTGGCTCTCATTTGTAAACAACAGCAAAATTTCTAGAGCCATGCAAACCTGTATTACTACTAGTGTGGAATTATTCTACAATATTCACTAATGACAGTAAAATAGACCATCCTAAGTCAATTTACTGCAGTAATTCCTCTCTCAACCAGTAGAAAATGCTTTGAACACCTGATTATGCATAATTTTTTTTTTTTAAAAAGTCATAAACCCGAAAACCGGCATAATAAAAAAAAAAAAAAAACTTGATATAAGTTTTTGGTCAAACCGCCCAGCACTAACTCAATATCAATTTTATGTAATTGAATATAAACTATTTAGTATAGACCCCTTTTCAGTTAGTAAACATGGTGACGTTTTTGTGGGCGGAGCTTAGGTGGAGGCAGAACGATTCCCCTGTCTTAACTAGCGGCCAATGGTACTTTATTTATTTTATGAATCAGTATCAATATAAATTTTATTAATCTGTATCAATGTAAATTTTATGAATCGGTATCAATATAAATTAAGTAATTGAAATAAAAACAATTGTTCAGTATACACAGTACATTCACTATATACATGTAATTGATTACATTGCAATTGTATGATTGAAACATTTGAATTTTCAAATCAAATGTTTTTTAATTTGCTAATTAATTTATTTAGGAGATCTAAATGTAAATGCATTTTTAATGATTGATGTTTGCGTTGGGTATATCAAGACGAAATGTACACGAAGGTTGACAAGTTTGGGGTCAGTGGGATTTATGAAAATAACGCTGAATTTATTTGATACAAAATTAATTACAAATAGTGAAACAGAAAAATATTATTACAATTTTAAATAACTGTTTTCTTTGTGAATATATTGTAAAATGTATTTTTTTTCCTGTGATCAAAACTGAATTTTCAGCATCATTACTCCAGTCTTCAGTGTCACATGATCCTTCAGAAATCATTTGAATATGATGATTTGCTGATTATTATCAGTGTTGAAAACTGCTGCTTCATATTTATGTGGAAACTGATACATTTTTTCAGTATTCTTTTGATGAATAGAAAGTTCAAAAGAACAGCATTTATTTGAAATAGAGATCTGACATTATAAATGTTTTTACTGTCACTTTTAATCAATTCAATGCCTCCTTGCTCAATAAAAGTATTAATTACTTAAAAAACTTTCTGACCTCAAACTTTTGAATGGTAGAGTACATGCATATGTATAACTTCTAAGGAAAATAAAAAATGACAGAGCAACATAAAGCAAGATGAGTAATGGTTATTTTGTAGCAAACCTCTTCATGTTAGGTTTGTCGTGACTCGTGAAGGGTTTATACGTTATCGCTAAAAATCAATTTCTCCCGGAAGCCGATGTGTGCGCTTTATTACACACACCAGCTAATGATTCATTCTGACCCTCGCCAGCTTCTGTGAGTGATTGTTGTTTTTTTAAACGTGACTGTGCTCTCTTCAGCTTTGAAGACTGGCCTCTTGAGCAGCGGTTATGAGTCAAACCGGGATGAATCACTTTCAGCCTGACATTCGTTTAGCACAGGCGGATCTCAGAGGCCATTTGATGGGTAATGCCGGACTGAACCTTCGGTAAACTTCTGCAGTCTCGTTACCAGAATCTTGTTAGATGGTGCTGCAGAAACCAGACTGCTTGTGTTTTGACACACTGGGTTGTCATCTTAAAGGCGAAGCGTATAATATCTGCTAGTGGTATCAAATGGAATTGCGAAATGAATGATTTTTTTCCATTCAGGTTTACCAAGAACTCACTTTGTTTGGACAAACAGGTTGTCCTGCTCCACATTTACACCATTTGATGAACCAGAACATGTTGGACCATTTAACCAATAACTCAGTGTTACTGTACTTTTGAATTTTGTTTATAGCTATATTCATATGTTTTTATTTGCTTTTTTATTTTCAATTTGCACTTTTATTTGTGTATTGTTTTTTATTCTCATTCGTTTTAATACGTTTTAAATCAATTTGTTCTTTTTATTTCTTGCCTCTTGTGATTTATTTTTTATCATTTATTATGTGAAGTACATAAAATTATTGTTCTGTGTGAAATATGGTATATAAATAAACTTGTCTGCCTTTCATTAGCCTACTTTTCAACTGTTTGACTTTTCCCTCGCTTCACAATATATTATGTTTAAGTTGTGGAATTTTTGGAGAATATATTTAGAAATGCTTTTGGACATTGCTGACTTATCTTAGCCTTGGTCTTATCCGCCTGAACATGACAGATTACATGCATGTATCAAAATAAATTGGTAAATGGTCCCGTTATGTGATATGCATATTCAATAGTCTGCCTATAGTCTGTTTGTATCAAGGTTTTGATTTAGTATTGAGGTACTAGAGTTCAAATTCGATTCATTGGTATTCTCCTAACCCGTCTTTGCACATTGAATCTGGCAAAGGGAGAAATAACTTCTTTAAATTGATGAAATCTAATCACTGGCCATGCAGGTGAGACATGTATTTGAAACAAAAGTATGTATGGCCGGATGTGTGGGCCATGAGGAGAGTTTAATACAGCTTGACGCTACTGCACAAAAGTGACTTGTGGGTCAGAAATCCCATTTCTGAGAATGGCAGCATTTGATTCATTGAGCATCACCATCACTTCTGCTTATTGTGTTTTTTCCCCTTCCTCCACAAAGTTGCTGAACTCAGTTTTTCTTCTCACAAGCCCCACGAGTGGAAGTTGTGTGCTGATGAATCTGCTAGTGTGCCCTGGGCGTCTCACAGTCAGGGAACCATTAACTGCAATCACTGTCAAACTCCGTCATGAAGCTGGTATTAAATTTTCAGCATCTCTCTGTAGGCATCAGCCGGCTGTTGAGGGCCTTCAGACCTAGTCTCTTTCCCAATTTGTACTGAAATGGTGCCGGTGCTCAGCCCGGGGATCTGTGAAACTCAGAACCGAACGTTTCCATTCACTCGAGAGCTGAGCGATGATGTGACTGGCTTTAACTGACTGTAGTCTGTCCATAAATGAACATAATTTATCACTTACTCATTGTTTTGAGAACTTGTTTTAACATAGAATGTGATTTGGTTCAGCATCTTTTTACCATTACAAGCTAGCTTTGAAAATATATTATTGTTGTTGATATTATTGTAATAATAAAAATTGTCATTATTATTATTATTATAACCGGTATTAAAATATTTGAATTGGTATTGTTTTTACTACTTCTATTATTATAATTTACTGAAAATGTATAATAATTATTATTATTATTAAGTGAGATATTTCAAGCCTTTTATTTGTGATAATTTTGATGATTATGGCTTACAAGCTATTAAAACCTTTTCACAATATTCTAATTTTGAATTTGGGGTTTTCATAAGCTGTAAGCCGTAATCATCAATATTATAACAAATAAAGGCTTGAAATATCTCACTTTAATGAGTCTATATAATATATTAGTTTCACCTTTTAAGTTGAATTACTGAAATAAATTAACTTTTGCACGATATTTAAATTTTTCGAGCTTTACCTGTTACACAGTAGGATGGACAGGATTTGGCTTCGGACTATCTAGTTTTATTTTGCGTTGTTGTTTTGAAAGCTGTTCTTGATTGAGGACACATCCACCTCGGCTGGCCAGTTATGTTACAGTCTTATTCTGTCGTCCTCACTTCAGGAGCCGTTGGGGCCCAGTCCCTGTTCTCCGTGCCACGGAGGCCCGGCTATGGCACCATGGGGAAACCCATCAAGCTGCTGGCCAACTGCTTCCAGGTGGAGATCCCCAAGATGGACGTCTACCTGTATGAGGTCGACATCAAGCCTGAGAAGTGTCCACGCCGTGTGAACAGGTAGGTTTGAGGAATTGCTCAAAGTTTATGACTGACTCTTGTGGACGCCTTCCTGATGAGTGATGTTGTCTCTACAGGGAGGTTGTGGACTCCATGGTGCAGCACTTTAAAGTCACCATCTTTGGGGATCGAAGGCCAGTTTATGATGGGAAGAAAAGTCTCTACACCGCCAACCCACTACCTGTGGCGCCTGCTGGGGTAAAGAAACACCCGCTCTGTTCAAAAGCACAGTGAGCGACCCACTTAGGCATCATGGGTGCACTCTGTTTGGATGCATCAATTATTCAATGACATGTTTCAGTAGGAAATTTGCACATTAAGATCATCATGATATTCTAGGGCTTCACGATTAATCAAAATAAAACTGAAGTCTTGATATGGCTTGGCTTAGGGTGATTATCCATCTCTGCACCTGCTCTAAATTAACCATCTTCCCAAACTTGTGATGAGAAGCACTTATCAACATAAGAGAAGCTTTAAAAGTTAGTTCACCCAAAAATTAAAATGATCCCATAATTTACTTGCCCTCAAGCCATCCTAAGTGTCGGGTCAGAGATCACTTTTCCGCCAGAATTCGACTTGCGTACGGCCGTTACTGGAAGCCAGAGATTATAGTTTATAAAGTTAGAAATATGGAAAATGTTATGGTTTTTAACGTTTGAAAATGAAGAAATTGCCATAAACAATTATTAAGCAATAAATATTAGTAATGTAATTTTACTGTTGTAATGTAAAATAAAACTATATTATTTTTGTATTTTACAGTGAAATTTTACTGTAATTTTATTTATACTACTACTACTACTGCTAATTATAATTATTATTTTATGGTCATATTTATATAGAATCACAACATTTTGGCCAAATTGTTTACTCCTACTACAAATAACTAGGATAGCAAATCCTTAGCAAATAGCAAAGATTTTTTTTTTTTTTAAGATTTGTAATAAAAAAAATATTTTTTTAAATAATAAAAAAAATGTGTTGCTGCATTACTACTTGTTATGTGTCCACAGGTGGATCTGGATGTTACACTGCCAGGGGAAGGAGGTAAAGACCGACCCTTTAAAGTCAGTATTAAGTTTGTGTCCCTGGTGAGCTGGCACCTGTTGCACGAGGTACTCACTGGTCGCAGTATGTCAGAGCCCTTGGAGCTGGACAAGCCAATCAGCACCAACCCAGTTCACGCTGTGGATGTGGTTCTACGCCATCTACCCTCCATGAAGTGAGTGCACGTGCAGCCATATCTCAGAATGTCTCACACACAGATAAACATTAGCTGGTCGCCCTGTCACGCCTACACACTTATAGTTCGTATAATATATTTCATTGTTAAACTGTGACCCTGAGCTATTTGAACACAGTGAAGTGGATTCTGCAAACAAATGATGCTTAAAATTGGCATGAAATTAAAGTTGTGATCGACTTTACGGTATCAAAAGACATTTTACAGTGTTACAAAAGAATTATGTTTCAAAAAATGCTGTTTATTTGATCTTACTATTCATCAAAGAATCCGGAAAATAAAGTAAGCTGTAGTACATTTACATTTACATTTAGTACTGTTATCAACATGGATAAAAAGAAGAAATGTTTCTCAAGCAGCAAATCATCATATTAGAATGATTTCTGAAGGATCATGTGACACTGAAGACTGGAGTAATGATGCTGATCACAGGAATAAACTACATTTCATGATATTACTGCATTTTTCCCCAAGTTTATTTTTCTCATAAGATAGAGCACTTTTGAACGGTAGTGTATTTTCTAGTGAAACGGCTAGCGAATTATTATATATTTTTATATATATATATATATATATATAAAAATGCATGGATAAATCTTTCACAGTAACATTTAAGCATTATCTAAGAAAACAAATTGGGTCAGTTTTGATTTCATGCCGACTTGAACGTTTTCTCCAAAGTTTTTTTTTACTATAACTTTATCAACTGGTGGGTTTAGTGTATACATGAAGTCTCTTTAAGTTCAATAGAATATATAACACTCTGTGATTGTTCCTCTCAGGTACACACCCGTGGGCCGCTCATTCTTTTCTGCTCCGGAGGGCTACGACCATCCTCTGGGTGGAGGCAGGGAGGTGTGGTTCGGCTTCCACCAGTCTGTTCGGCCAGCCATGTGGAAGATGATGCTCAACATCGACGGTAGGGATGGGCATTTTTAAAAAATATTGCATTTGAATATTCAGGCTCATAAAAATCGAATATTCGTTTATTTAAATGACGTTTAATGAAAAAGACGTTATTTTTTAAGTGTAATTTTTGTCACCATTTCTGAACAAGCTTACAATTAGGCAATATACACAACAAGCTTACAATCAGTGTTGGTCAAGTTACTTGGAAATAGTAATTAGTTACTTTACTAGTTACTTTACTAAGTTACTTTTCAAAAACATGATGCACGACCTGAATACGCTATAAAGCAATAGACCTTTCAGCCTAATTCTATTCTTTCTGCATATTCCATCATCTAAAATTTAATCAAATGAAACACTCTCTTTTTTTAAACTTGTTTTATTAGTTTCAATATTTTAACTTTATGCACATTGCATCAAGCAAAAATTTTATTAAATGCAACAGTCTCAGACTTTTGATGAACATTTAAACCTATTTTCTGCACATTCCACCATATTTTAATGAAATAAAGAAAGTCCTTCTTCTTCCTTCTTGCTAGTTGCTTGCTCAGATTTGAGGTGGAATTTTGACATTCTCCAACGGGGGTCCTGTTTCTAGATCAGGATGCTCTCTGCACACGCAAGGTCTCTCGCTCGCTCTCCCTTTCTGCGGGTGCGCGTGCGCTACGCGGCCTCTGTCTCGCATGCACGCTCGCTCTAGATTCCGGGAGATTTAAACTAATTTGCGGTATAACTAGTCGATCACAAGTGGCTCAACAGGTAGAGATCTATAGATAAACTCATCTTTCAGGCATTTGACCGACCGGGTTGACACTTCAGCGTGAGAAATCGGGGGTGTGGCGTGTGAGACCAATCAAATGCGTGTCTCTCTCCTGCGCTCCACGTTGTCTCTTGTTCAACACTACACATTTCGGTGTTTACCACTGACGTCGCGGCACTCATACGTCTTTGTCACTCACGCACGACTCATGGCACGAGACACGAGGCACGACTCATGGCACGAGTAACAGTAATCTAATTACTGTTTTTGCAATTTTAATCCCTTACTTTACTCGTTACTTGAAAAAAGTAATTGGATTACAGTAGCGCGTTACTGCCCATCAGTGCTTACAATATATGTTAAGGTTTATTTTAGTTGAAAACATTAAACAGTAGGCCTATGTGCAAACAAAAAATATAAAAAACAAAAGCATTAATAAAAGCATGCTCAAGCAGCGCGAACGGAAAAAAAACGCCTAATAAAGCATATTGCGCCAGATATCGTACAGAAGGTACACATACAGTCGAGTCAGCATATGATTATCGTGTTTATATTGAGAAAAACAATAATATCCACATGCAGGGGCGCCGCCAGCAATTTATGCTCGAGGGAGAAAAGGCGCTGCGCTGACAGACGTTTCAGAGACACAGAGATAACGGTGTTCTAAGTTTCTCACAGCACTTTGCGTTTTCTGTTCTTAAACCGGTCTCCCTCAACGAAACTTAAAGGAAGTATACGTCTCAAAATCATTTTGCTATTAGATAAGTTATCTCGCATCACGCGGGGTCCAGCTGCGCTTACCTGCAGTCGTGATGGTCAGCTGCCTTTCCTCATTCGACTGTTTGGATTTCATGTGATTTCTCATTGTGGTGATGATATTATAACTCAGATTAATTAATTAATTTGATCAAAAGTAATTCCATTTTGTAAGATCATTTTCAAGTAATTCGAAACTTCGCAAGGCGGATGACAACATTATGTGATCAAATACACACAACTTAACACACTCCACAGCGCCACCCAGTGCATTTAATTATAACTGCGAGTTAGTGCTTGGGATTTATCATGGATTCACTGCATTTACGGCCAGCAAAGCAGCCTAGTAAAATTCGATTAGTATTTTATTTTTCGAATAATAATTACAGATCGAATATTCGTGCACACCCCTAATCGACGGTGTGCATCCTTTGAGTTTCCTGACGAGGCTTTGCATGTGTGTTAGCATAGAGTGTGGGAACTGTTCACACTGTTGCCCTGGGGATGAAGGGCTGAAAGATGGCGGGTGGGGGTTTGTTTGATTGAAGGGGGGGCGTTAAATGAGTCTCTCTTTCTCTCTCTCTCTCTCTCTCCAAGTTCACCAGTTCTGTGTCTCTCAGTCTGCATGTTTTCCCGCTCTCTCAGTCTCCCATACGTCAATTGGTTGCATCGCCTACTCCTCCCCCTTCCCACTAAAGGGCAGGGAAAAGTCTAACCGTCTGAAATCGTCTCTCCTTTCACTGGCTCATTGTAACACTTATAATGGAGTGAATGGACTCAGAAAGAGCGCGAAAGACCGGCTTTGAGTTCACATTAACATTTGTGTTTGTTTTCTCACAGGGCTAATAAAGAGCAACATCTTAACTGGACCAGATATTTTAGTACGCTGAAAGTTTAGTGAAGTCAAATTAGAAATGGGGGGAAAAAACAAATTGATAACCTATAGGTAAACACTCAATACAGAGGGCTTTACGCTTGCTTTTTTTCCCAAGGCCTAATTTTAACATTTTAGGAGTGTTTAAAGGGATACTCCACTTTTTTTGGAAATAGGCTCAATTTACAACTCCCCCAGAGTTAAACTGTTGAGTTTTACCGTTTTTGAATCCATTCAGCCGATCTCCGGTTCTGGCGGTACCACTTTTAGCATAGCTTAGCATACATCATTGAAGTGGACAAGACCATTAGCATTTCTCATTAAAAAATGACCAAAGAGTTTCGATATTTTTCCTATTTAAAACTTGACTCTTCTGTCAGCGCCTGAAAATAGTTCCGTTGTGTTGACGGAAGGTGGCCTATTTTCAGGCGCTGCGTCATATCATTACGCCTGCTGCACTCATGGTACGGCAGTAAAGTTTCTTGATTATTACGCAGGAATGAGAGTATAGTTCCTAGCCATATCAGCCTAGAAAATCGCAACTTTACATTTTCCGTCGGTCTTAGTGCACGATGTAACTACAGAAGAGTCAAGTTTTAAATAGGAAAAATATCGAAACACTTTGGTCATTTTTTAATGAGAAATGCTAATGGTCTTGTCCACTTCAATGATGTATGCTAAGCTATGCTAAAAGTGGTACCGTCAGAACCGGAGATCGGCTGAATGGATTCAAAAACGGTAAAACTCAACAGTTTAACTCTGGGGGAGTTGTAAAATGAGCCTATTTCCAAAAAAAGTGGAGTATCCCTTTAAAGGACTTTAGGGGTGCAGTGAAATTAATCAAATCATTTGTTTTTCCATAATAAAGGGATACGAGGAAACATTTACAAGCAAATTGTATAACCACAAATACGAATAATAACCAGAAAAAAAATTTACATTTGGAAATTTTAATTTTAAACAAGCTCATAATAAACCAGGACTCATCTTGAAATGTCTTTTACATCAAGTTGCTCCGTCAAAAAGAAGCGGTAGATAAAATATGCACTCTAGCAACTAGGGCTGCAACAACTAATCGATAAAATCGATAATAATCGATTATGAAAATCGTTGTCAACGAATGTCATTATCGATTAGTTGGTCTGCTTACGTCACGGGGAGGGTTTACTGGTGATTGGTTGAAACAGGCCAATCAGGATGCTCTCTGTCTTACACGCGCTTCATGCACACACACGCAAGGTCTCTCTCCCTTCGCCGCTCTGCCGCACGCGCGCGCTACACGGTTTGGAGCACAGTCTCTTCTGTCTCGCATGCGCGCTCAAATCCCGGGAGTTTGAACTAATTTGCGGGCATCAGGGAGCCGCATAAGCCGCTATCAATATGCGGGTGACTCCCAGAACTTCCGGGAGACTTGGGATGTCTGTATTTTGTCTCGAGCATCAGGTTGCGCAATCAGTTCGCTCGCAACATAAGTGATGGATTAAAATAGCGCTACCGCAGAAATAGGTTAAATTAAAACGGTCTTTACAAAGCAAAGCACTAAATATAAAGGCAGTTAATAACAGCAGCAGTAAAAGATTGTTTTAGTCACTGTACTCAGTGGTTTTCAGCGAATGCTTGTGCACTACTGCATCATTTTTCCTGTCTTTTTGATCAAGCCTGTTAACTTGCTGCGTACTTCCATTCCGTTCTCTATTTATAGCATTTGTCTATTAAGTTTTAATTGTTTTTCAAACGCGATCTACTGCAGCTCTACGTTCACACGCTTGTTTTCAGTCTTTCTATATTTATTTTATCAATGTATCCTTATAATTCAATTAATTTTAAATAAAAATTAAATGAATTGTATATTTTAGATGTTTTTAGTTTATATCTTCACATCTGAACAACATGTCTGTGTAAATTTGTTTTAACAAAAATTGTGTTAAAACAATATGTTGGATATAAATGTTTTTTTTTTTTTTACATTAATCATGGTTGTCAACTTGCCATCAGCAATTATCATTAAAAACAATGCAAATATTGATATTACTAAAACTCAATGTGTGACTTTTGCACTTTTTAAAGTACACTTTTACACATAAATATCCTAATTTAGGGTTTTAGGTAACACTTTATTTTACGGTGTCCTTGTTACATATGTTACATGTACTTACTGTAGTAATAACAGTAAATTATGCATAATTACATGCAACTAACCCTCAACCTAATCCTACCCTATTTCTATAGTAAGTACATGTAGTTCCTTAATATTACTCTGTACTTAAATATATAATTACACTGTAACAAGGACACCTTAAAATAAAGTGTAACCGGGTTTTATTTAGTCAATAAACAAAAAAATCAAATTGAATTTTTTATCCGATTAATCGATTAATCGAAAAAATAATCGTCCGATTAATCGATTATCAAAATAATCGTTAGTTGCAGCCCTACTAGCAACCATCTGAAACATATTACAATACAAACACCATAAAGTAAATATTGTCATAATTCATCAAGTAGATCATAAACAATCACTTGGCATTGAGCCCCGCAATAGGGATCACTGACAAAAAACAAGCCAATTCTCTTTGTTACAACTTGATTTTCTAATAATTTCAGGGAAAAAGATTTTTATATATATTCCCTCAATGCTGCTACATCACTGAACATTTTTATTTTTTTACTGCAGAGGATGATTCCTCATGACCTCTTCTAAATGATGATTTGAACTGCGTTTTTATCAGTTTTCATCTCTTTTGTCTCGCAGTGTCAGCCACGGCTTTCTACAAAGCACAGCCAGTTATTCAGTTCATGTGTGAGGTACTGGACATCCACAACATTGATGAGCAGCCTCGCCCCCTCACAGACTCCCACAGAGTCAAATTCACCAAAGAAATCAAAGGTATGTGTGTTCCTGTGTGTTTGTGTTTAGGGATTGGACAATGAAACTGAAACACCTGGTTTTAGTCCACAATCATTTATTAGTATGGTGTAGGGTCGTCTTTTGTGGCCAATACAGCATCAATTCGTCTTGGGCATGACAGATACAAGTCCTTCACAGCGGCCAGAGGGATTTTGAGCCGTTTCTCTTTCAGAACAGTGACCAGGTCACTATGTGATGATGGTGGAGGAAAATGTTTTCTGAATTGGTCCACCAAAACACCCCAAAGTGGCTCAATAATATTCAGATCTGCTGACTGTGCAGGCCACGGGAGATGTTCAACTTCACTTTCATGTTCATCAAACCATTCGGTCTCTAGTCTTGCTGTGTATTGGTGCATTATCATGCTGATACACGCTCATGGTCCTCCAGAATGGTTCGGTAGTGCTTGGCAGTCTATCAAGCACAGTCAGGATTGTCATGATATTGCAGCTCAAACCATCACTAGCTGCGTTTACATGGACACTTAAAATCGCATTGACGGCTCGATCGGACTAAAGAACCTTCATGTAAACACCTTAATCGATCCGATTGAGCTCGATCCGAATAAAATTTCGATCGGATTGAAAGGAGTGGTTTATCCCTTTTGTAATCCGATCGAGAGAACATGTAAACACTTGATCGGATTGAAAACCGAAACTGAAAGGACTGCGCATGTGCAATGACGTTAAATAAACGGAATGACGTATGACGCGTGAAACGAGCTGTTCTTCCTGTTGAATAAAGTGTCATATTAATAAGTTTCCCGTCATTCTAAAATTCTCATTTTACTCACGCGTCTGTGAAGTAAAGCAGGACAACGTCCCACCAGTCCTTGTTTTGGATTCTCATCCACAGACATCAGGTTTCGACCGCGGGGAGGGGCATTTTTACTGCGTGATCAGCACGGCAAAACGGTTAATATGCTCTAAATTATGACCAGAGACGAATTAATATTACGTCTGTGCTGTTTAAAACAAATAAAGAACCAATAGAGGAGAATATTTATGCGCGAACAGCGGGAAACTCTGTATATTCGTGCAGTTTGCGCATGTCAAAAAATCAGATCCGTTTTGAAACTTGTGACATATAAACGCGCACATCAACCCGATTACTTTATTTTGTCATTCATGTAAACACCTTGTTCGGATTCATCAATCGTATTGATTTCATTCCGATTGTGTCCATGTTAACGTAGCTACTGATCCACCGTTGGCTTCACTCAGGGCAGCAACAGTCTGGGTGTTCAGCCTCTTTGGGGTTTATCCACACCGTAACTCACACGGATGTGGGAAAGACAGTGAAGGTAGACTCTTTAGAGAATAAAACATGTTTCACGTTGTCCACAGCCCAAGATTTGCACTGTTGCACCAGTGAATCCAGCATTTGGCACTGGCACGAGTGACCACAAGTTTGGCTATAGCATGAGCCATGCACAATGACTCTGGATCTCCTGATGAACAGTTTTGGTGGAAACAGGAGAGTCGAGGTGCGCATTTAATTCTGCAGTGAGTTGGGCAGCTGTGGGTTTGTTTTTTATTACCTGGACATCCCTTTCAGACAGCTTCATTTTACGTTGGATGTGGTTCGTCTCACGTGGTGGTCCACATTACCCTGCATACCATAGCTCTCGATACACCACAAAGACTTGATGACAGATGAGCAAGCGAGACGTGCACCAACAATTTGGCCTCATTTGAACTCTCATATGTCTCCCATTATGTTGTGTGGATTGCAATAGTTTATGTACAGCTGTGCTATTGCTCTGCTTATTTATCATTTACACTCTGCTCTTACTGATGGTAAATCAGTTTAGATTGGCGATCAGGCCGCACATATATAGGAGTGAAAGCTCCAACACTATATTGCCCAGTGTTTCAGTTTCATTGTCCAACCCCGCTGTATGTGCTTGTCTCTTTCTCATTGGCTGGTTTCTGTCCAGGTCTGAAAGTGGAGGTGACCCACTGCGGAACCATGCGGAGGAAGTACCGGGTCTGCAATGTGACCCGCCGCCCCGCCAGCCACCAAACGTTAGTCTAACCGTCGCCGGAACTGCACCATCCATCCATCCAAAATTAATTTTCTGTCATCCATCCATCCAAATTTTCTGTCATCCATCCATCCATCCATCCTTCCATCCAAAATTAATTTTCTGTCATCCATCCATCCATCCATCCAAATTTAATTTTCTGTCATCCATCCAAATTTAATTTTCTGTCATCCATCCATCCATCCAAATTTAATTTTCTGTCATCCATCACATCCATCCATCCGTCATCCAAATTTAATTTTCTGTCATCCATCCAAATTTAATTTTCTGTCATCCATCCATCCATCCCTCCATCCATCCTTCCATCCAAATTTAATTTTCTGTCATCCATCCATCCATCCAAATTTAATTTTCTGTCATCCATCCATCCATCCATCCATCCATCCTTCCATCCAAATGTAATTTTCTGTCATCCATCCATCCATCCATCCTTCCATCCAAATGTAATTTTCTGTCATCCATCCATCCATCCATCCTTCCATCCAAATTTAATTTTCTGTCATCCATCCTTCCATCCAAATGTAATTTTCTGTCATCCATCCATCCATCTTAATTTAATTTTCTGTCATCCATCCATCCATCTTAAATTAATTTTCTGTCATCCATCCTTCCATCCATCCATCCATCTTAATTTAGTTTTCTGCCATCCATCCATCCATCCATCCATCCATCCATCCATCCATCCATCCATCCATCCATCCATCCATCCATCCATCCATCCATCCATCCATCCATCCATCCATCCATCCATCCATCCATCCATCCATCCATCCATCCATCCAAATTAAATTTTCTGTCATTTATCTATCTTAATTAAATTTTCTGTCATTTATCTATCTTAATTAAATTTTCTGTCATTTATCTATCTTAATTAAATTTTCTGTCATTTATCTATCTTAATTAAATTTTCTGTCATTTATCTATCTTAATTAAATTTTCTGTCATTTATCTATCTTAATTAAATTTTCTGTCATTTATCTATCTTAATTAAATTTTCTGTCATTTATCTATCTTAATTAAATTTTCTGTCATTTATCTATCTTAATTAAATTTTCTGTCATTTATCTATCTTAATTAAATTTTCTGTCATTTATCTATCTTAATTAAATTTTCTGTCATTTATCTATCTTAATTAAATTTTCTGTCATTTATCTATCTTAATTAAATTTTCTGTCATTCATCTATCTTAATTAAATTATCTGTCATTATATAATGAATTTAATTATCTATTTTATTTATTCTAATAAATAAAATAAAATTATGTTTTTGGGCCATTAAAATGGTTTGAATTTTTTTCATGACTATTACATTTTCCTCATAATTATTATTAAAACATTTTGTTTTTACAGGTCTTAATATTTTAAATGATAATTCTTATTACTGTAATACTATAAAGTATTATAATGATTACAAAAAAATAGTGTAGTATGTAAAATGCATTGTCATGTATATTTAAAGTTGCCAAGTCACTGTTGCCACATGACCTCATCACATTGCATGCAGGATATTTGCACACTTCACACAGTTTGCACAGTATGTACTGCAGAAATAGTAAAAGTAGCATGTTATTTCAAACATAGCCCAAATGTTTGGACTGAGGGAAGGAGTTTAGCTCTGGTTGTTGATGCCCTCTAGTGGTGGTGTGTTGTTTGATCAAGTTTCCTGATTTCTTCCAGGTTCCCTTTGCAGTTGGAGAATGGCCAAACTGTAGAACGAACAGTAGCTCAGTATTTCAGAGAAAAGTACAACCTGCAGCTGAAATACCCGCACCTGCCCTGTCTACAGGTGGGCCAGGAGCAGAAACACACCTACCTGCCCCTGGAGGTGAGTCCTGTCCTCCTCACGCTGGGATGGCCATAGACCACAGTCTCTGTTCTTATACACTTTGCTGTTCTCGTAGGTGTGCAACATTGTAGCAGGGCAGCGGTGCATCAAGAAACTGACAGATAATCAAACCTCCACGATGATCAAAGCCACAGCGAGATCAGCACCAGACCGACAGGAGGAGATCAGCAGACTGGTGAGTGCCTTTAAAGTCATGTGCACCAGCATTATTTTAGTGGCATTGAGAAACTAGTATAGTTTTTAATATTTTGAAATAATTTGTATATTTTCCATTTTTTATTTTAGTTAAAGTTTTAGTAATTTTGTTGTTGTTTTTGTCTTTTTTTATATATATATATATATATATAGTTTTTATTAATTTTAGTAGCATTGAGAAACTATAATAGTTTTTAATATTTTGAAATAATTTGTATATTTTCCATTTTTTATTTTAGTTAAAGTTTTAGTAATTTTGTTGTTGTTTTTGTCTTTTTTTAAATATATATATATAGTTTTTATTAATTTTAGTAGCATTGAGAAACTATAATAGTTTTTAATATTTTTAAATAGTTTTTATATTTTCCATTTTTTATTTTAGTTAAAGGTTTAGTAATTTTGTTGTTGTTTTTGTCTTTTATATATATATATATATATATATATATATATAGTTTTTATTAATTTTAGTAGCATTGAGAAACTATAATAGTTTTTAATATTTTGAAATAATTTGTATATTTTCCATTTTTTATTTTAGTTAAAGTTTTAGTAATTTTGTTGTTGTTTTTGTCTTTTTTTAAATATATATATATAGTTTTTATTAATTTTAGTAGCATTGAGAAACTATAATAGTTTTTAATATTTTTAAATAGTTTTTATATTTTCCATTTTTTATTTTAGTTAAAGGTTTAGTAATTTTGTTGTTGTTTTTTAGTTTTTATATATAGAGAGAGAGTTTTTATTAATTTTTGTTTTAGTTCTCATCAAGTTACAGGGTTCCTACACAGTATGGAATTTTATTTTAGTAATTTCCAGGTATGGAACAATATATTTTGTTTTCTAAAATTATAGTTTGCGGATTTGCAGTGTGAGTATTTATAGACTAATATTTTACAGTACTATATACTGATTCATACTGAAAATAATGCTATATCGTTGAATACTTTATGGGTGAGGACTTGGATGGAGTGAGAATGCCTGATAATACATTATTTTAGCAGTAAATTTCTAGTATAGCATTAGCATTATTATTATTAGCATTATTATTAGCATTATTATAGCATATAGCATTATTATACTGGATGCCATATCCTGTTATTATTTTGAAAATAATATTTTCTAAATAAATGTAATCAGACACAATATAATTTTAAAATGTATAATATAAATTTAAAATTGTATCAAACATAATCCTGTATTTTAACTTTATAGATTTAATAAAATACTGCATAAAATAAAATGCACTGAACGTGTCTGGGTTTGGAGTAAATTGATTTGTATCAGCTACAGTATCGAGATACATTCTGTAAATTATTTGGCAACATAATAGTCAGAATGTAACATGCATGTGAACGGTTTGATTTTAAAACCATTTATCAAATGTTAAATACATATTGGTCTGAAAAATCCGCAGATAACTCTGGAAAAGTATGGAATTTTGAAATGGAAGACAAGTAGGGACCCTGAAGTTAAACAATTTTGAAATGTTGTCTTGGCAACTAGCTGAAATAAAACAATTAATAATTTGTCTCAAGTAACAAATCTTTTTACAGTTTTAGATAACTATAATAATGCAGATGTGCACTTAATTTGGTTGCATAATAATCCAGATGCACACTTGTGAGGATCACGTAAGGTCTTCCAGCGGTGTGTTAAACCTGTTCCTGCTGTCCGTGTGGTGGATCTGAATGAAGTCAGGTTGCTGTCTGCATTAATAGAGGTCAGCGATTTCAGAGCACTGACTTCATAGTGAGCTGATTAGCTGTGATCTGAACTCTTTACCTCACTCCCTGCGGATTTACATTCTGCCTGCTGCCGCTACCGTCGGGCTTGAGCTGTTAACGTGTAATTGAAGCACTGCTGCGCTTTATACCTTATTAAAATGACAGCCAATCAGGCGCTGAATCCGAGCAGCTGACTGCGTGTTGCCGTGGTTGATTTCTCATTTAGATCTCCAAACAAGAGCGGGGAGACCGCGTGGGTGGAATGCAACTGACGAGGCCAATGAAATGTACCAAATGAAAAAGTCTAGCTTTTAGACAGAGATGAAAATACCACGGTTGAGAGTATTTTCACACTCCGAAGTACAGCAGGATCTGAGCTGGGATTTATCAGCTCATAGCAATAAATGTTTCTGACAAACACCCTGTGTGTTCAGTCAGTCGCAGGAAAGGTTCTTCATTTCAAATCTAATATAATCTGAATTCTGGGTAATTTAAGATGCATTTTACCATTTATTCACACTAAATTGATACCATATCCAAATATTATATATATATATATATATATATGTATGGTAAAACTAGTTGTGTTTTAAAATTGATTGATTTTAGGACTAATAGACAGTGATGTTTTAGTATTATTTATATATTATTATAGATTATAGTATATTTTCAATTAGTTTTTTTTTTTCAGTTTTAGTAAGTTTGTGCCTTTGTCATTTTTATTACTTTTTGTATTTCTGAATTTATTTTTATTTCAGTTTTTGTAAATTTAGTAACTTTTTTTTATTTTAGTTAGTTGCCAAGGCAGCATTTTAAAGTAAGTTTTTAATGTAATAATTGTATCTTATTTTATTACTGCTTAAAAAACAATTTGCAATACTTTTAGTTAACAATAACAACCCCGCTAATCGATTAAAAGTGCTAAATATAAACCTATGTTAGTACTTTCGTATCTAATTGTTACTAATTGGTCTAATTTGAGTGTTAAACTAAGGTGTGTAAATTGACCCGAGATGTTTGCACTGCATCCATTTCTTCAGAAAATGTAAGAATTGCATAATATCGGCACTAGCCTTATTGAGAACAGTACTGGAGAACAGCTGTAACATTACAGGCACATTTTACTTCCATAATTTTGTGTATTTCTAAGTGAAGTTTTTTTATTTAGATGCATTAAAACTGAATGGCACTACACATTTAAAACAACATATTTTGAGAGCAAATTAAATATTAACTAGTGAATTTTTTTTTAAATTTATTGACAGGCCTTAATGATTTTGTCTGTGTATTTCCAGGTGCGCAGCGCTAACTACGAAGCAGACCCTTTTGTTCAGGAGTTTCAGTTCAAGGTGCGAGACGAGATGGCCCATGTGACGGGGCGCGTGTTGCCTGCGCCCATGCTGCAGTACGGGGGCAGGGTGAGCACAGAGCACTTTATGGTACCCTTCTTTTCAATCACCCACATCTCTCTGTGTCTGTCTGTCTGAATGAATGGATAGCCTCTCCTGGAGGAACTAACAGCTCCTAACCGCTGCTGTGATGTGTGAAGTGTGCAATAACTGCTAAAGTAAACAAGCTTGCAGTGATTTTTATTGTTGTTTAGATTAATGAATTAAAGGGATACTTCACCTCTGGAAAGATGAATGTGTATTTAAAATGGGTCATTTATGTAGAAGAAATGTGAAATTATTTTTGAATTGGGAGCTTTCTAGACTGAGAAAAGCCAGAAAATGTATTTTTGGCTAATGTGGATGAAAGACAACAACTCCCAGAATGCACTTGCTTCGCTGCCCTAGGAGGCCACGCCTACCGGTAACGGAGCGCAGTGTTAAACAACAAGTCTAGGCTAGTCTAGTGAGTCTCCGTGATGAGTCTGCCCGAAAATGTGTTTCGAGATCGCCCAAAATGTCCGGGATTCGGCTTTTGCGTTCTACAGTCGCCATTCATCATGTTTACTGTGGCGAGCAGGACGAGTGAGGGCCGCGGGAGAACGGCGCGAGGCCGGTGGCGTGATTACCGATGAGCGGCCGACACCTGTGAGACGCACCGGTCTCGTATCTCTCACGGCGGAGCGGGAATTTTCTTAGCAATCAACGCACATCAACCGATCACTTGTTTAGCGTTCATGTAAACACTACATTCAGATTCACC